ATAAACTTTTTATTGTTTTGCATAAAAATTTTGAGTTTAATATTGGGTAAAAAAGTGTTCAGAAACTTTTGGCGGGGTCTGTAGATATCCAACTTTAAAGATATTAGTATATCTAATAAGTTAGCAAAAATACAAATCACTAAATCTTTACTTTTACTAAAACATGCAATAACTTATTTTCTAATTAGCTTTCATGTTGCATAAGTCAAATAATATAATAGGTTAATCCTTCAGCATTTTAGTTTTACTACTAAATTTCTTTTTTTTTAAAAAATAACATTGTAAAATTTATTAAAAAGCCCTAAAATACCAAAAAGCAGCTTTTACAGATGTTAAGTGAAACATGTAAAGGTTCTAAAAAGGTATTAGATGCATAATAATACTTGAAATTGATGATGAACTACCAATTTTAACCTTTGAGTAATAATGTGTTGAATATGTAATTGATTCAGAAAATCTATAGATATAGGTATCAAAAAATTTTTAAAATAACTTTGAATTTTTACATAACTAAAATAATAATAATAATTAAAAATTAATTAATTTTAATAGATAATTATATTTAATAACTTATTTAAAGAAAATCTTAAGAGATTTCAAATAATCATTAGTATTTTTCAAATCTTATAATAAAAAATCAATCAATTTTATAGATTTATAAAATGTTAGAAATGTGTTTCCAATAAATCAGTATCATAAAAATGAATTTTTAAAGATTTAATAAGATCTTTTTCATCTAAGACTATTATATCAATTATAATTTTTCATTTCATTTTGTTCTGATTATAATCAATTCTTTTTATAATAAATTTGATAATGAATTCACAATATAATGAAACTTTAGTATAGTATAGATTTCATATAAAAAAAGTCTTATTATACTAAATTGTATTAAATAAAAAATACTTTCTTATCAATTATTTTTTTAAATTAAAGAAAATAAAAAACATTTTATCTTATTATTACTTATAGTTTACAATTTTATTAGATAATTTTATAGTTTTACATAAGTTTATTACATCTTTATTACTTTAAAGAGTTTATTTTAAAGCTACTTTTATTAGACATGACTTCTAAAAAGAATGAAAAATAAATTATTTAAAAAATACTTTTCATTTTACCTAAAAGAATACTAATAAATAAACCTTCAACCTGTTATTTAAATTTCATCAGTAAGTTTTTTAGCATGTGGATTTCTAAAGATTTTAAAAAATCATCTAATTAAAAAGAATTTATAAGAAACCTTTTTCATTTTTAGAAGGTCCTTAAAAAAAATCATTTTATGAAATCCTTAAAGATTTAAAAGAATCTTTAAGGATATTATTTTATTTATTACTAGTAATTGCTATTTATTTGTTATAAAAATATGTGATAGATATATAATCTACAATATTTATAATAATATAATTATATAAAATTAACTTTAATTATAATATATATATTTTCATTAATCTTTTTCTAATACGTTAAATTCGTTATTATTACTTTAATGATCATTACCTTTATTGTCTTCATTTATAAAATTATTATCAGTTTTATCTTTACTATCAGTTTTATTTTCACTATTGATATCTTCACAATAAAGTTCAATTATAATAGATTTAGTAGTATCAAATGAAATTTCTTTAGAAATAGTAAGATAATTCTACAATATTATTTAATATATATTATATTACATATCAATTAAAAATCAAATAATAGTGTTACAATTATTATATATCAAATAAATATCAAATTGTTTTTGCAGAAAATTATTACTAATTGATATTTTTGAATGATTCAGATTTAACACAGCTTCATATTGTCATCAGGTTCATTTTTGTTTATCTTAATGTCTAAGTTGAAGGCTACGGCAGCTAATTCTACACGTTGGAGTTTTTGATCTTAGAATTTTCTCTAAGTCTTACAGGTATCCGTTATACTTGAATCAACTTAGCAATTTATCACGTCTTAGAATTTAAGATATATTTAATCAAATTCGTAATGACAAACTTAATAGCAAATTAATGTAGTATATCACAACAATTCTAGGTAAAGGACAACATTAAAGGGAAAAGTAGTTTATATGAATTTAAATTGATTCCTTTATTTATAACTTGAAATTTGTA